GAAAATGATTATGTTTCCGAAAATTTGAATGAACTTCACATCGAAGAAAATTAATGTAGCGGGACTGGCAGTACATAATATTCTGATTATTATTCTCATTGTATAAAAACATAAGAACATTATGTCTAGTATTAAATCTTTTTTAACACATATATATATATACTAATACAAATTTATATAACATATAAATTCATACCCAAAAATTCATTATATTTAACATTAGGATAAGGTTGATTTATAGCTTAGAGAAAGACATGATCTTTACTAATATTTGGTAAAATCTTTTTGTCAGAATTTCTAATCTTGATCGTCAGCACCGTTCTGATAGATTAAAAAAATATCATTTTACTACATAAGTTCATGATAAAGTTTTTTAAAATAATATACAGTCAAATCTCTCTATAATCACACCCATCTGGATAAATATTTTTTTTTTTTTTTGAATTTACCTTAATATATAAGGTGCGCTTATGGCGCTTTATTATGTACAGTGAAGATTTTATATGTTATTTTATAATTTTAAGAAATTTTAAGGTCAAATAAAGACCTTTATTTACAGTTTGGGGAAGTTGTTGGAGAACCATGAGTTCTCTATTTAAATGGTGTGTTATAATGACCGGGATATTAGTAAACTTTGTTATATTATTACCCCATTTAGTGGAGGTGTATAGGCGCCAGATTTCGTAAACAATATTAATATTTAACCATTTGACTGCTCTTTTAATATTTGCTGAGGAGAGTTGAGTACAAAATATAATATCATTGAAAGAGGTGGGTATTGTTATATTTGAAGTATCATTTAACATTTGATAACCTATATTCCAAACATGTTGACTGATGGGGCATTCAAAAGTAAAGTGTTCGATAGTTTGAAGTTCTTCACACCATATGCAATTACTATTTTCTGCTGTGTTCATATGTCTTAGGCAATAGCCTAGTGGAAGTGCTCTGTGAAGCAGTCTCCATAGGATATCTGTTCTTTTATTAGGTATCCAGTTACAATGAAATGGCATCACTAAATTTGAATATTTTTTTGTTAGATTGTTTTGTGTAATCGATGTACTAATTGACTTGTTTCTAAGAAACTACTATTTTTTTAACTGAATATGTATTACCCTGTTCATTTGCTAGTGATATAGATTCAGGGGTCCAGGGCCATAGTTCTTTATTTTTGCCAATTGACCCTTCTATTTTTTTCCAAGCCTTGACGAAGGGTTTCCATCTGTCAGGTCAGGCTTTAGTTTTTATAGGACTAGAAGATAAAGCTATATTTATTGAAACTCCTCTATTGTTAGAAATTTGCTGTGTTATAATATCTCGTTCTATTTTTGCCCATAGGAAGTTTCCAGTTAAGAGTTTGATCCATGTATTAATCATACATGCTGCTAATATATCTGTGAGCACAGGTGCTTGTAGGCCATATGTAGAATATGCTTGTTGAAATATTGAATATCGTGGTAGTGTATTTGAATTGCATTTGATGCTTTTCATTATGAGTTTATTCAGTTCTGAGATTTGTTTATATGAAGGAGGCAGAAGAGTGGCTGTGTACCAAATATGAGATGTAACTAATGTATTGACAACAAGAATGTGATCCTTAAGGAATAAATTTCTTGTAGTTATATCATCTAAAATTTGTTTTAGCTTCTGAATGGTGTTAGGCCAGAGTGAGTTAGGGCATATCTCTTGCTATTTACTATATATTCTAGTATTGAGATAGGTTTATCATGTTTAAGAACTTTGAAGTTTTCTATTCCTGTAAGTTTAGTGCTTTTGGCTTTTTCTGTAAGAGGTACAAATATAGATTTATGTTTGTTTACACGCGCATTAGAGGCTTTTTCATATAATGTTAAAATTTTGTTAAAAATAATCCAATCTGTATTTGAGCCCAGCCCTATGGTTAGATTATCAGCATATGCTACTGTTCTAAATGAGTAATTTTGTATATGGATTCCTTGAATTCTATTGGTGAGTTTTTGTAAAAAAAGGTTCAAATGCTAAAAGGTATAATAAAGGTGAAAGAGGGTCACCCTGATATACACCTCTATTCATATCAAATAGTGCTGAAAGTAGTCTGTTGTCCATAATATGTGCATGTTGTTTGTTGAAAAGATTTGTGATTACTGAAGTAAAAATAGATGAATACCCTATTTATTGTAGAGTTAATATGAGGAACTGATGATTTACTCAATAAAAAGCTTTTTGCTGGTCCAGAAACATTAACTAGTTAGTTACATTTGAGTCTGTAATGTTTCATATTGTAGTAATTATATCAAGTGCAACATCTGTAATTGATCTTTCTGCAATAAAACCTTGTTGATATGGGCCAATTATTTTGTAACATATTGGGTTTAACCAGGTTGCCAAAATTTTCATAAAGATTTTGGCATCACAGTTTACTAAGAAGATAGGTCTTTAGTTATTTATGTTTTCTAAGTTGTTTGATTTTTTTAGAATGAGAATAATGAGGTTTCTACACCATAAACTAGGAAGTTTTTCAGAATTAAGAACTTTATTAAAAATTTTAACAAGAATTAGGATTATGAATTCAATAATATCTTTATGGAACTCATATGTAAGTCCATCTGCACCAGAAGTCTTATTATTTGGCAATTGTTGAATAACTTTTGATATCTCCTCTTCTGTTATTTGTTTTGTTAGCATTATATTTTAAGTTGGTGTGACTTAGTTAAGATTGGAGGTTAAAACATCAGCTGCATTTAGGTAACATTTTTCATTTTGATATATCTCTTTATATGTCTTTTGAATATGATGTAAAATTGTACCTGGATCTTTTTCCTGAGATATATGTGGGATTTGAATTTTAGTTAAATCAGAATATAAGTGTTTTTGCTGATATTTAGAAAAGAAATATTTTGTAGATTTTTTTTCACTTTCTATCCAATGGTTTTTTGATCTGATTTGCTATTTTTTAGCAAGAGATTCTAACTCCTGTTGAAGTTGTGTAGTAAGCTGCATTTTTAAACAATAAAGATTATTAAGATGTGGGTTAGCTGCTAGTTTAGCATTTATATTAGTTATTTGTTGATTAAGTTTATCAATTTGTATTTCTGAAGTGTAAAATAATCAGAATGCTCAAAATATTGATCATATTCTTATTTTGTAAAGGTTTCAGTTTTCTTTATTTACTTCTTTCAATTCTGTTATAATTTCAGTTTTGATGAATTGATTTAGTATTTGTTTTTTATTGTATTTCTATAATGATAATGGAGGTGTATTATTACTAAAGTTTAATATGCCTTCTACTAATTGATGATCTGAATTTACATATTTTGTAGTAATTAATTGACAGATATTTATATAGTTTTTATGTACAAATATATAATCAAGCTTAGTTGTCATTATATTACCATTATATACATTTTGTTGGAAAGTAAAAAAGAGATTTCTCTATATGAGTAGCTATATTAATGAAGTTATATAATTTTGCTTCTAAAACTTGGCATGAAGAATTATTACGTGGTGGTGTTTGGTTAATTCTATTTAATATAATACTTAAATTTGTATTAAAGTCTTTAGCTATTATATTTATCAAGTTAAATTTAATTTTTGAAAACCAGTTGTTAAAGAATTGTAATCTTTCTTGTATATGAGGTGGAGTGTAAATGTTAGTTATATTGAATATTCTTTGTTTGATCTTGTCTTGAGTTATTAGGACTCTACATTCTTGTATTAATTATGTATTAGTAAATTTTATGAGTTTATTTCCTGTCAATATTGCTGTTTTATCTGTCCATATAGAATCATAACTCCATTGTTATTTGACAAAATTATATGTTTTTTTATTAGTAAGATTTGTTTCTTGAAGAAATATAATATCACATTTATAGAATTTTAGTAAAGTTAATGTTTGTTGTCTTTTTGATAGATTATTAAGCCCTTTTGCATTAAGGATAGCAATTTTAATTTTCTGATTAGTCATATTAACTAGATGTATTAGAAATATTACTTAGTTTGGTTTGACTTTGTGTTTTGTTTCTGTTTATATAGGAGACAGAGTAATTATTTTTACAAACATTTCTATTATTACTTTTTTTATTTTTTCATTTTTTATTACTCACTATTGTAAATGCTAACTCTTGTTGTATATTGTCTGTTGTATTATTAGTTATAATTGAGTTTTCTTGATTTTTTTTCTCTTGGAATATGGTATTAAGATCAGTCACATAGTTGTCAATATCACTAATATCTGGATCAGAAAATACTTCTTGTTGAACATTTGTTGTGTTGTTTTGTGTTATTGGCTCTTTTTGAAGTAAGCTGATCTCCTCTTAAATCAGTTGCTCTTGTTCATTTTCATGATTATTTTCTAACATATGTACTAAGATTGTATTATTGTTAATATTGATATTTGTTGAATTATATAGTTCTGAGTTTTTCTAACAGAGTTATTTTGTTTTTTTTATATATTTTATATTATGTCTTGAGTTTTTGTGCTTCTTTATATTAGTGACAGTTTCTTTTTATATGATCTTCTGCATTACAAAAGAAGCAAAGTCTAGATGCCTCTCTCTATTTTATAATGACTTTTTGGTTCATAATTGTTATGAATCTTGGAATCCATTTGGTTATCTCAGGATCATCAGTAGTATCAAAAATCACTACTTATTGGTTATTTAATATTGAAGTGCTCTCAAAAACAAGTGGTTTATTTGAAGAAATTTTTTCTACATGTTTGAAGGTATCTTTAATTTCTTTTGTAATACCATCTTAAAAATCAATTGGAACATTTTTAAGTTTGATTGAGAGATATGAGATTCTGCTATTGATGGAAATATAGCCTAAGAAGGTTTAATTAACCAAGTTGATTCCTTCTATACTATATTTTTGTATATCCTCATTGGCTTTAAAGATAATTTCTAAGTGCAATATGATTCCCTTTATAAAATGTAGTTTTATTTCAAAAATATCTTTACTAATACTTTTGTTTAGAACTACAACAATTTCATTCATAGATAAGTTACCAAAAGTACAAATTTCAAACATTACTGCTCTATTATTCTTAGTAGTAATTTGATTATGTACTAAAAATGTTAAATATGTTAATAGGCCTCTAGTTAATTTGGTGAATAGGCTTGTTCAAGACTTTTTTTGATTTTTTTGGTCCAAATTTCTAGATAAAGAATCTTTGTTTCTGTACCAGTTATTTTCCTCTGCTAACCATGTTGAAGAGCTTAGGTTGGGGTTTGTATAATCAGTTTCTATATTAGTATCAGTATCATATGTTTCTATATATAAGATGTCTGTAAAGACAGTATGTTTAGATACTAATTAAGATTGTGCTTAATCTGAGGCATCGATGATCTGATTCTCTATATTTTTAGCTATGAGTTCATCTCTCCTATCTGCTTTTGTCTTTTATGAATTGACCAAAGAATTTTTTGACTTTTTGTTGTTTGCCATAGTAAAGCTCAATTGTACTCTATGTTGTGTTCTGAATACTTCTTCGAATTTGTCTGCCCAATTTTCAGAGAGTCTGCTAGTATGTTCTAAATTTGATTGTTTTAGGATTATTCTGTCTTGTAAGGTAATTTCTGAAGTGTTGGGTTTTAATAGGAATAGAAATAAACTTTTCTTTTCTATAATGAGAGTTTCACTTTTTGTTTGTTGTATTTTTATCATTTTTTTGCTAATAAATATTGTTTGATTATTTTTTAGTCTTTTGCATTTCCTTGGCCTAAAGGCTTCTGCTCTTATTTTTGTGTTGAGATTCTTGTCTCTTTTTGTTAAGTCTATAATAGTCATTTTACCTAGAGCACCTGACCTCAGAAAAAGAAAGATTGCTTGAAGATCCTAATACTTTATTTGGTGATAAATATTTGTATACTCATAAAAAGATTTTTTACTAAGATATGTATATAAAGAGATTTTTTTAATATGTTCATATATAATTATTGTTTATAAAGAAGTTTTTTATATGATATACTTATAATGAGTGTGGTCTGACTGTACATAAAATTTGTAACATAAATTACACATCTTTAATTTTTTTTTCTGATTACCAAATATCATGTTTATTTAAGCCTATTATTAACTGTAAAACATGAATATTCTCTTACTTGTGATTAAGAGTCAGTTGTGGTTATGACTAGTCTTAACTGTAGCCAATATCTATCAAAGATTTGTGATTAACTGGTTAAAATCCTGACCAATACTATTTTAGCAATGTTAATTGATTTATTACAATTAGGTTCTATCAGAAACAATGAATACTTTCATTCCATTTTATTCTAACATCAATTGACCAATCAAAACTTGTATCTAGCACTATTATAATAGTTTACTTTATCAATGATATAAAATTATAACAAGAATATATAAATGAAAATATTGATTACATGAGGAGTAAAACAGCATATGCAAATCTGATGTGACTAAAAAACATATCAATATGATAGTAAAAATGCAATTTTAAACATTTGTGAATAACCTTATTTATTGCAGTTTGCCAATTATGAGATATTTGATTATTAAAAAAAATGTAATCACTGTTTAATTTTTTACCACAACTTTATTTTTGCAAGTATATTACAAAATAATAAAAATGTACTTTTATTTCTATAAAAATTAATCAATTTTTACCAAATAATAAATACACAAATTTTATTTAATCTAAAAATCAAAAAAAATAGAAAAATTAGAAATCAATGTTTACTTTTTTTTAATAAACTTTAGAATTTATATTATATTGCAAATTACAATAAATGATCCAAAGCTATTTATAGAATGAAATACATATTTTAAAAAGACTATTAGCAAAAAAAATAAAATTCTATATATCAATTTATAAATATGAAGATGCTAATTCTTCTTACTGATTTATAATAATTATGATAATTACAAATAACCAAAATGTTAATAACTAATATAACTAAATAAAATATATACCAAAAGTAATAGAAATTAGTATATAGTCAAAAAATGGTATAAATTAATATAAATTGATATATAACTAAAATGATATAAATCACTATTTTTAATATTGCAGCAATTAAAAGAATGGTTTATTTTTTAAAACTAAAAACCCTAATTTTTTATTTCATAATATATATGTTTTGTGTAAAATTCGAATGGGCATAAATTATTGGAATTGAGTTGCATCAGACCAAAATTTGGTATTGAAATGCATCAGATCAAATTATTTTATTATGTATCAAATTAAAATCAATAATTTAATGTTATAATACAGTATAAATAATAAATTCACTAATCTATAATTCTATATGGTATTATTGTACATTTTTCAATTATGACATTTACTTCTATATTCAAATTCTATTTTTTTGCAATAACATTTATAACATTTATTAGTATTATAATTACTTTTATTCTAGCACATATTTTTTATAAAAATACCACCAGTATTTTGGTTCTGTGCAGCTTTTTTACCAAATATATAATCCATTGAAATATGTTCTAATTCTGAACATCCTATTATATTTGATTATAGTTCAACTTATCTAAAATCTTGCGTGGTGTATAAGTCAATTTGTACCAAATCAATTATTATCAGACGATATTTACTTAAAGAAGTATAGTCGGAAAAATAAAAGTAGTTGCGTATGATACCGAAAAAAAATTGTATGATATATGTAATACGTAGGATAATAAACATTTCAATAATTAGTTATTAGATATTAAAGCAATTACAATGAACTTTTTTTTTACAAATAGTTTAGCAAAGCAAATATTAAGGCAATTATGCAAAGAAATTTATTTTTTTCAAATAAACTAGCAAAGCAAAAAAAGCATATTAACGTTCTAAACCACGTTCTTTAACTAAATTAGAAATGCGCAATTCTCTTAATATTTCCTTTCTTCGAGTTGTAATAGTCAATCTTTATACTCTAACTTTTATATTAGTGATATTTAAAATCTGCATTATTTTGGAATGATTTAAATTAAATCACATTACTTACCTTTTCGAACGCTGGCAATAGCTGCACTTTTATCATCTGTATCATATGTTGTTACTGAGTTATTTCAATATGAACTTAATTTTATAAAGTGAAATCCTATAGCAATAAATAGTATTTAAATAGTATTTAAGTTCCAGTTCAACACAATTATATATAATTAATTAAATGTCGGTTTCATATTTCTTACATTAAACAGTTTCAAATTCTCTTTATACAGAGTTTCTACATCATTGATAATTTGAAATCAACGATCCATTTTTGGGTGTATATTTTTTGAATTTAAAATTTAAAATTATTTATTATTACATCGTTAGATTTGTTGTGCCGAAGTACTTAATTAAAATGCATATTAATAGCTATCATACACATAAGTATGATAATAAAAGCTTGTCATACACAACTTCTTTGGTACTCCCGACTATACTACTTTAGATAGGACTCATTATCAGATATGTACGTACTTAATTTGTGCTGTATAGATCTCTACACAATACTTGGTATCTGTTATTTTTGATAATTAATCTTATAGTGTTGTGAGGTATATAAAAAATGCTGTAAATAATTAATCTAAATAAATATAAAGAATTAAATATATATAACAATAAATTATATTAAACCTAAATTACTATAATACTTCATAACATTTGGTTCAATACAAATAAAATAAACATAATAAATGTGAGTTAATGATTACAAATAACGGTCAAAGTGGAAATAATTACATATAAAAGCACAAATTTTATATCCATTTGCTTAATGAACCATCTTTTAATCACGATGTAGTTCGACTAGTAAGCTAATATTATTATCCTATCCAAGTGAATCGTATTTGGAAATGTATTTAGAAATTACTGTGTTGGTTGACCGAAAAAACTTATCTGTATCCATAAAGTTAAATTACTTTTAAAATTGGTACGCTCTTTTCGATTTATCTATTATGTAGTTGGATCTATGATCTTTTTGAATGAATATAACATATACATCTACTTCTGTTCGTCGTATTTTGTGAAACTTATTTATCAATAAAGGGAAATATATGAATAGTTAAAATGAGTCACGTTGAAATATGACGAAGTTGAACGGGACTCAAAAAAAAAAAATTACAAAGATCTAAATCGAAAAGAGAAACCTAATTATGATAAATTTGGATCCTTGATTGTGATATTTTTCAAAAGTTGGGCCTTATATGTAATTTTCTCTAAAAAAATTCTTAGCCTCAAGAGACCTGTTTATTATATATCCAACCTTATGTCATATCTTAACACGAAAAGATTATAATTAACTATAAAAGGGGTTCACACTTAAAAGCTAAATGTTACAATTAATATAATCAAGCCTAATAAAGATCCAAAATAATAAATAGTGATAGTGATAGTATCTATTATCTGATATATATAGATAATGTACGTACCAGGAACAGAGTACGAAGTACGTAAAGGATGGTTTACTGGTGAGTGAAATGATGTACTGTATCTCTTTTGCATCATATTGGATGATACATTGACGTGACTTACTCCAAAAATTTTATATTTGTACACCATGTTTAAATTGCTATTTAATGATTTATTTTACGCATAATATTGTGATGTTAATATTAATGTTCCTTATTCGATTTAATTATAAAACCTATGCTTCTACCTGTATTGCAATTGTGTATTATATCACATAAATTTTGAATTTGATTAAATGAGGCTTGTTGTTATAACGATTTATGCTATTAATACTTTTATAGGTCAATAGTTTGAGCTACTAATACCATAAAAATTGAGGCTCAAATAATGCAGAAGTACATCTATAATTATAGAATTATCGTTAGCTATGCATACGCGCATGCTTCATTTTTCTTCATAACAAGTTCTTCTAAAATAACAAAGCTAAAACGTAAATAGTAATCGATTAACAATTATATAATTTGAGTTAAGTTATTTCTTAATCCTAAAGTGATGTACCTTTTTTGCATCTGATTGGATAATTTATTCCCATGACTTTTTTTGGCTTTATATTGATATGTGGCTTTTATCTATTGTCACATGCATAAGCTTAAAATACTTTCGATAAAACGATAAAAAAAAATGCAATTTGAATGTTGCGTAATCAAAGAATCATTCTAGACTATTATGTTGTTAAATTCTTTTTATGGTTTTCAATTTAAAAAATAAACCTTACTATTCTTACTAGTCATTATCGTGGCTTTTAAACCTGTGATACGCACATAAAATTTATTCTAGTTTTCACTTATCTTGGTTCTTCATACTTTAGTGTCAATTGGTGTCGTTATAACAGGCTCCTCTATTTGATTGCTCTATGTATTCGGCCGTATATATGTCGTCCTAGATTAGAATAGGCATAGGCTTAAAATTGAGTTGCGTAAAATTTAAATTTGATTTTGAGGTGTGTCAGACTAGTTTTATCATTTATGCGTCATACTGAAATACATGTAATTAATGTCATTATATTATTAATAAAATAAAAATTGGTTTGCTTAAATTTCTTACATACTATTCATGTATTTTATACTCATGCAAAAAAAAATTCAGATTGTCGATCTGACTAAGCCCCATGAGCATTGTAAATGTGTACAAGGTTGGAGGCGGAGACTAATTCTTAAAATTAGGGTTAGGGGATAGTTCATACAGTTAAATTGTTCAACGAAAACTTGTGATCTATGAGTAATTTTTGGCAGAAAGAACGTTTGTTTTGAACCTTCCTGATCGTGTTACATTACACCTAATTTTGAAATCTGATTCGTAGTTCGTCTCATGATTTGCATTACGTAATACAATAAATAGTGCTACAGATAAATACAGAGATCATTTATCTTTCTCA